TGGATACGGCGGGAAAGGGATATATATATCTTAGGGTTTAGGGTTTAGAGGGGTTAGGGTTTAGGGTTTATAGGGTTTAGGGTTTATAGGGTTTATAGGGTTTATAGGGTTTAGGGTTTAAGCAGAAACAGAGTCAAGAAGGATACTAGAAAACCCTAAACCCTAAACCCTAAACCCTAAACCCTAAACCCTAAATAAGGATACCATATCAAGAAAACCCTAAACCCTAAACCCTAGACCCTAAACCCTAAACCCTAAACCCTAGAACAACATACTCGCGGATGTGGCAGTAAGTCATCAAGTGTCTCTTTGTCCATGGAGGAGAAGAAAAGTCACCGACAACCTGAACACAAACCCTAAACCCTAAACCCTAAACCCTAAACCCTAAACCCTAAACCCTAAACCCTAAACCCTAGACCCTAAACCCTAAAGGGTAAGCCATGAAGCGTAGAAAACGAGGTCAATGCTCCTGTGGGGTGTACAGCAGCAGCAAACAGTAGCTAACAATATATCTGCTGCTGCTGCACCAGCAGCAGCAGCAGCAGCAGCAGCAGCAGCAGCAGCAGCAGCAGCAGCAGCAGCAGCAGCAGCAGCAATACCTCTACGATGGCAGTGGGTGTATCCCGGGTCCACTCGAGGACCCAAAACCTCCCCAAAAAAACCAAAAAAAAAAAGCAAAAAAAAACAAAAAAAGAAGAGAAAAAGACACGAGAAAAAGAAAAAGAAGAAGAAAAAAAAAAATACCTCTACGGTAGCATTGGGTGTATACCAGGTCCACTTGAGAACCCAAAGCTCCAAAAAACCCAAAAAAAAACAAAAAAAAACAAAAAAAACCCAAAAAAAACCAAAAAAAAAGCAAAAAAAGAAGGAAAAAAAACAAAAAAAAACAGAAAAACAAACAAAAACAAAAAAAACAAAAACAAGAAAAAAAAAAGAAGAAGAAATACCTCTACGATAGCATTGGGTGTATCCCAGGTCCACTTGAGAACCCAAAGCTCCCACTCTGCATCC